ATTTTGAAAAGAACACTTGGGTGAATTCTCCATAAGTTGATAATACTGGGTGTGGCTGTTGTATTTACAGTATGTTGCCTTGTCCTGGTTTTCTTGAGGTGGTGTGTGGCCAGGGGGTGAGATGTCAGGATTTGCAGTCTCTTCCATTTCTCCAGTGTCTTCTGATCCCAGGTGGAGCTTCCACAGGAAACTGAAATAAGGAGATGTATTGAGGCTGATAAGTGACCTCAGTAAATGTCTGGGATGAGCCGCTTATTGAATAAGGGGTTGCTCTCTGTGACAGTGATGGGTTGTCCCTGACATGACCAGCTGTCGCATTCCACATTGCTCGCTCAGAGAGACTCAAGTCATTCCTAGAGAACATTCAGCCCTGTGGGGCATAATGTCTGTTGATGCTGTGGGTAGTGCCAGTGAAATAGAGGCATCTTTATGCTTGAAAATATAGCATAGGGCACGAGGTAGGCAGCAAGCACACCGGCTTCCCAATAGTGAGTGACTGATGTTCATAGTGGCTTTGACTCTCAAATGTGAAGCCTGAACATATAGTCGAAATAAAAACTGTCTCTGAGAGCTATTTAAAGCTGTGAAGTAATCCCAGTATTCTAGACCAGGAAGCTAGAAGATCAACATTCCCAGGCCAGCCTTGGCTACATATTAAGTTCCAAGCCAGCCTAAGCTATATATTAAGGAGAGACTTTGTAGCAAAAAACAAACAACAATCAAGTTAATCACAAAGTAATTATTTGACCTTACGAAAATGTACCAATTTGTTCAAAGGGCAATCCATAGCAGACTAGAGGGAAAGCCCACAGCTGCATAAGGAAGGCAGTGGATGCTGCCTTTGCTCTGGGCAGTTGAAATTCAGACCACTGATGTCTTTTATCTGTGTGACTTTAGACAAACATTATACCTTTTCTTTCTTTTGTTCCTGCTGATGCTGATGACTAAACCATGAACCTTGTTCATGGTAGACAACTAACTGTTCTACCACTGAGCTATAGTCCCAGATGTCTATTCTTAACCTATTGCTTTATTCCATGATGAATTTAGAATGTCATCCTTCTGAAAGTGGAAGAACACACACATGAGAAATACCTGGTATTGGTTGGTTTGGTTTTGGTGCAGGTTCTATCTATCTATCTATCTGTCTATCTATCTATCTATCTACCTATCTATCTATCATCTATCTATCTGTCATCTATCTATCTATTATCTATTTTTGAGATACGGTCTTTTTTTTTTTTTTAATAGACCTGGCAGACCTAGAACTCAACTGTGTAGTCCAAGTTGGTCTTGAAATCCTAGCAGACCTCCTGTCTCAGCCTCCCTAGTACTGGGAGTACAGATGTATGCTACTACATGTAGCTACTTGCTTAGTATTTTTTAAATTTATTTTTATGTGTACGGATGTTTTGCCTGCAAGTGTGTGTGTGGACGTGTGTGCGTGTGCGTGTGCGTGTGCGTGTGCGTGTGCCTGATGCCTTCAGAGTTCAGAAGCGGGTATTGGATCTCTTGAGACTAGAGTTACATATCCCTGTGAGCTGCCCTGTGGTGCTGGGGATCAAAACTGTGTCTTCTGAAAGAGCAGCCAATGCTAAGACTGCGGAGACATCTCTTCAGGTCTCACTTGCCCAATTTTTAGTGTAAATGTTGTACTCAGCAATCCTAACTAAAACAATAACAACAAATGTCTCCTCTAAGTCTATAATATTAGTAGTACAAAAATCATCAGCTACCAGAGAGTATGAGTAACTTATTGTTGGAATAACTGATTCTATGAACTTGTCTAAGTACACATCTTTCTGTACCATTAGAAGAAATTAAGTACAGTCAGCCTTCTGGACTGATGAGTTCTGCCTCCATGGATTTATTTAACTCCAGATAAACATTTTTGGGAGGAATTGGTTTGTTCAGAATATATACAAACCTTTTCTTTCGTAATTCCTTGAATAGTACAATATAGCAACTACTAAGACAGCATTTACAGTGCACTGTGCATTATAAGTAAACTAGCTGGGACTGACAGGAGGCAGAGGGTATGTGTATGTTGGATAGAAACTATATATCATTTTATATGAAGGAGCTTACTGTTCTCAGATTTTGGCGTCTGAATGGCAGGAATCTGGAACTAATTTTTCGTGGCTTCTTGAGTCCAACTGCATAGGAAATCTTTGGTATTAGGGGACACAAAGAACACAAAATTGATGTAGAAATCTTAGCATTCGGCAAACTAGTCCAGGATGAAATGGCACAAGAAGCAAGGTTTCATCAGTTCAAAAGGGAGATGGTGTTGGGGCAGGGGACCAATAGATGTCTGAAGCTAAGTGAGGAATCGGAGATAAGGAAATTGAGCTTCCAAAAGCCAAATGGGCTCCCAGTGTCTGAGCTTCCGTGTGGACAGAATGAAGCGTGTGAGTGGCATCTTGTGGACTGAAGGAGAGTTCATACCGCAGGTGGGAGGCCAGTGGGCTTAAAGTGAACTCTGTGAAAAGGCTCATCTGTGAAATTCTACCTATGAGCTGAGTTCATCTCCATCAACAGTCAAGAGAAGCAAAGGTGGAGCTTGCTCTCTGCTTAAGCCAGTGCCCCAGGCAGGTAGCAGGTTCAAATTCTCACCCCGTATCATGCAAATCACCGAACAAACAGTAGACAACACCCACTCTGCTCCAGGTGAATTTACTGTTCAAATAAACCTTCAAAAGTGGGCTATAAGCACTAGTATCAAAAGGAAGGAAGGAAGGAAGGAAGGAAGGAAGGAAGGAAGAAGAGAAGGAGAGAGAAAGAGAGAGGGAGGGAGGGAGGGAGAAAGAGAGAGAGAGAGAGAGAGAGAGAGAGAGAGAGAGAGAGAGAGAGA